ATATAAATTATTAAATATATATCTCTATATACATATCTTAATATGATAATAAGATGTATACCATCAATGCAATTAAAGCTCGGAAATTTAGAAATTCAACATAAAAATCCCCATTCGTTCCTGGCCAACTTGTTTTCTTAATTTTGTAACTGCTTGATTTTGCTCAGTGTACATCTGCTCTCAACCAGCTTCACATTATGACAGCCATTTTCTGTACAAGCACGCCCACATAAAAGAGGCAGTTGCCTAATACTTTTTATAGGCCACGCATTACCGATAAGAAACTCTTTCGCATAGAGATTCGTACGATACGAAAATGGGGGCAAAGCAGCCAATGGGAGAACCAAAGAGCAGAGCTGAAGCTGTCGAACTTTCCTAGTGGAACACGGGCAGGGAGGCGGAGGCAGCTGTCGGCCGTATTTTTGGGTTAAAATTTATGCGCTACGCATGCAGATGAGGGTCGCAGCACGTGGAGTGGGATATATAGACATAGTTTCTGAGTGTGTGTCGGAAGTATGAGATATTTCCGTTTGAACTTAAAGTTGATTTGGGCTTTACGACTCAGCCCATCAGCAGATGGATGTAAAAAAGAAATATATCAATACATATATAACATAGAGGTGGGTGGGTTGCCACACCATCTCCATTGCCATCTAATCTAGTATCCAGCTGTTGCAACGTACCCTTGGCTTCAATTACAGCGCGTCAACAAAACCATTAGAAGAGGGTTATGGAAGGTTATAGACTAAAATTGAAGCCCACACCCGATTAGACAAATTTCTACACCTTAATTGCTTGGAAAACAATCAAAAATATGTCTCTCATATGCTGGTCTCTCACGGCTCCGTCTGCTCTATTCCGGGGTAGGGTTAAGCGCAGTTCAAGTGGTCAGCGCTCGATCTAACCCTTAAGCGTGTGTCTGTGTGTGAAGGGGCGCCAACTGTTCGTGCCTGTAATTTGAATTTAATAGGAATATTATTTGTTTGTTTGCCTTGTCCAGTCACGAACCCACAACGGAAGTCCACAATTTGCCCAGACTCAAGGGTTAAATTTCCAAATAGAACAAAAAATGAACAGCTAACTGGTTTTGCTGTCTTGCTCATTGTTTCGTATCATGTGATCTATTGTCAGTTGTGTTTGGATAGACCATATGAGTAGGGTTGATGGACTCCGATATGGTTTCGCATTTGCTCAGCTAGGCAATTAAAGGGTTAGGTTTACGAGTGTATCTGTGTGTGTGTGTGGGTGTCTAATGGCCTTAGTGAGTGATGGGATCAAACTGTGCATAGGGGCGGAATATATGCTCATAGTGCAGTCATAATTTAAAATTTATAAGGCTGTTATCACATTATTAATAATTGGTAACCAAGAAGGTATAGGTATAAAAGGGGAAAATACTTTGGAAGAAAGCCAGCCGGAAGAAAAGTAGAAAAATTTGGAATAGCCAAACCAATTGAAATTCTGCAAAAGAAATTCTTCCAAACGTTTTCATAAACTAAATAAATCGGAAACATGCAATTCACAATTTTCAAACACATTCATGTTTTAACTACCATTTAAACTCAGTAACTGTATTTCCCAAAATTCCATAAGTAGAGAGCTTTTCTAGTCAGTCATTTAATCGAACCTTTGTCCATTTGTATTATAGTTTCTGCCCTGATCTAAATAACCACCAAAATTAAGCTGCTTCCTTGAAAACCTGTCTATAACACCTTGAAAGCCCCTAGTTTGCATGTTTCGCTACAATTTTTGGGATTGATGTCTGTTTTCCTTTAGCCTTCAGCCTTCAGCCCTCAGTCAACCCGGGCGGACATAATTTGAAGAGTCATGAGTCAATAGCGAACCCTTTCCGCCTGTCAAATGGCTGCGAGGCAGACAGCTCGACAGACAGCCCGAATAGCAATCAAAAACATGGCGCTGCCATCAATTTAAATAAAATGCCGCTGCAAACACGCCACCTGGCGGCCGTTGTAGAAATTTTGATTAATAAAATGACGCCGACAGCGACTCGAGACGACCCGTTAAATGCCTTCGCGTGACAAACGCAAACTGTCAGCCCCCACCAGGCACCGCCCCACCCCCTCCCCAATGGCTAGTTGAATGTAAACGGAACCAATACATTTGTGAGCGTAACATGCCATAAATCAAGCGATACGTTAACTTGATGATTTCGCGTTATAAACAGGCAACTTTTTATGCCACGGCCCGACTAAGGTCTGAAGAAAAAACTAAAAAAAAAATGAAGCAACTACATGGAGTCGGATTTGGAATACTCTACTAAATAATTGACTGCTAGACTTTCTATTCATATGAATCAGTATCAGGAATCAGTCGATCAATCCTAATCATCGTTGGGAAAAGTTAAAAATATATAAATATAAAGTGCACCATTAAAATCCAAAAGCTTCAAGAATGAGATTTATATATCGGAACTTTAGACTTGGGTTTTAAATAGTCTAAAAATTTTTAATACAAATTTAATTCAGAATGAATATATAATAATATATACATATATGTATATCATGCTATACGAACTCACATTTCCTTTCAAAAAACTCGAATACCCAATGCAAGAGCAACAAGAACACGAGCCCAAGCTTTCTTGTTTATATTTTGGGGTGTACACTTAATAATGTCCACAAATACACCCAGCCCCCCAAACTCACATGCACAGTGAGAAGTCGAGTCACATGTGTATTAACGGTTTTTCTAACTGCTTTCGGGCTCCTAATGCGGGGCACATTACAAAATACAAAACCAAAAAAAAAAAAAAAGAACTCAAATGCTGGGCACTTTTTGGCCATTAATCAAACTATCTCACGGGAGCATCACACACACACACATACACACATCAATAACTAGTGCGCGTGTGTGTGTGTGCTTGTGGAGCCAATCTGTATCTTTGTATCTGTTAGCTGCAGATATTTACTTGACTCTTGATAAGCAAACGAAGAAAAAAGGCAAAAAGAACAGTCATGGCCATTCGTTTTTTAGCATATGTTCCCAGTAGTAAATTAAGATGCCCAAGCAAAGCAAGAAGAAGAGGAAGAAGAAGATGAACAAAAAACAATCCTAAATAGAGATGCTTTTCGTACTCTCCCATGTTTCACGAGCTAACGAGAGCCGGGCCTTTAGGTTGCGACTTCTGCCGTCAGTTGACAGTTTGATTAGAATTTGACTGGAGGGCGTCGCAGTGGGGGTACAGTTGTGTTTGCGTCAACTACCGAAAAGCCAAAAACTTTCATAGGAAATGGCCCAGGACTCGGGGGAAGGCTGATTAGGTTAGCTGCGAGCTGTTTTTAAAAATTAAAACTGTATAGAAATTTGTTTGATAAAAATTATCATTTTGTAGCTGTATTATATTAAATTCATATTCAGAATTTCTTAACTCTCATTTTATGTAAGTCCCATAGTTTGAGTATAGTTAAAGGTATTCTATTTATTGAATTCCTTCAATTCCAATCTCAAAGTGCATCCTAACCTCAATTTTTGCAATTTTTTTTTAAAATTATATACTACAGTTCCATCCACATATCGAATAAGATTTCTCTTACCTTCTTCACCTTTCTCGAGAAGTCAAGCATGTCGAAAATTGAGCAATCGCCAGTAGTCGACCTCACGCTGATGAAACTGTTTAGATAGAACAAAAGTGAACGCTTATAAAAATACAGACGAAGATGCAGAGGGTAAAAAAGGACATACGGACATTACGTGCGGCTTGTCCGGCGTGCGGGCAAATAAAAAATCACATTAGAAACACACGTTGCCATCAACACTTCAAGCGAAACTCGTCGTGTAATAAATGATCTATGTAATAGACCTATCTGTGTCTGTGTGTGTGTGTGTGGCCGAAGAGCAAAAGTTTGTCCATAATGCTTTTATCTGCGACAGGCCAAGTGACCAACTGCCCGCCCCCACATCTTCTCCTCCAACAGTCCGACAGCGAGGTGTGGCGTGGTCTTTCATTTTTTTAGGCAAATTTCGATTGTGTGCATTAGATTAGCAGGCGTTAGGCTTAGGTGTGGGTCTTGTGTGCTGGCCACATTATAAGGGTGTAAATAAAAATATTAACACTAAACCCACATCCAAACATACACACACACACACACATGGCACACATGCACACCCCAATCAGAGAAAGTTACCCCCAGCCAAGCGACACTCGAGATTTGCCTCTTCACCATTTGGGAGCACATGCATTAGCATCTTATGGCTGCGGATTCGATTTGCGCTTTGCTTTTTTGTTTTCGGGAAGCTCTTTGCCATTTAAATTGAGTAATCACTGGGGGGCAAAAGTTTTGCTCGTGCAGCACCCGCTCACCCTCCTTTAGCTGTCATTTTCGCTGAGTAGGCGCTGTGGCACATGTGATGCAAATGAATGATTAGACTTGAATCGAGACTAGGGCAGGAACCGACTATTAGCTCAATTGGTAGCAGATTTGACAGAAGCTATGATGAACTGAGTCGACTATGGCCGACTGCGAAGTGCGCTGCACACGGCTAACCAAGATACTCTTACATGTGTGGATGTACACGAATCGTAGCTTTACTTTTGTATTATCTACATATTTCTATTATCATATCAATACTGTAGAAACTGACGAGAAAGTTATAAGCTACATTTAAGATTGCCTCAAGCTTATAGGAGGACAACAAATCATATATGTAGAAAGTTTGACCTGCTTGTCTGCTACCGAAATATAAAGTTAATGCACTATGCAAGCAGTCTGTATATGCTTATCAAGAAGTCAATTGCGTCCAAATGGTATATGTTTCCATACATAAATCCACATTGCAAATCGAATTGTATAATAGACAGACGGACCTAGGCAACACGACTCAGCTCCATTTCTTCCTTTTATATTGACACGAGCGCATTCAAAATCGAGTCTATAAAGAAATTTATTTTAATATAGATATAAACATAACCATATTGTGATAATATTTCAATTGACTTGCGGTTCATAGCAGCCCGTGCTGCTTACATATGAATGCCATAAGGGCCATGTCACGCAGCTCCAGGGTGACCCGCTGGCGGTGCATGGTCATCATATAGGAGTCCTGGAAGCGTTGCGTCAAGAACATCTCTGTCGCCGTTTGCAGCGCCTCCAAGGCGCCCATTGTGATGCGAAAATGCGGCTCACAGTCACACCTCTCCAGCATAATCTCGCGAACCACCCGGCCAAAGGATATGCGTGGAATCATAAAATTAGGTGTACGCTGCAGCAGACGAACTTCGCGTTTGAACTTCTGCGCTCGTCTGAAAGGATTCGATTGCTTGCGGCGCTTTGAACTTGTTGGTTCTAGTGGACACTCCGGTTCTACTGCACACGCTGGGCCTGGTGGACACTCTGGATCTAGTGGAAACACTGGTTCTTGTGGACACGGCAACGTCGGTAACAGTCCGTTCCTAATTGAAGGATTTGCTGGACAAACAGCAACAACGTCTTCATCTTCGTTGTCGTTAATTCCGTCTGCATTCTTTGATTTATCTAAGTGCTTCTGTTGCTTGCGAGTCGTGGAGCAGCGTGGAACTCCATCAAGTCCAAAAGCAATAGACAAGTCCGATCCGGAGTCATCCGAATTTTGCAAACGAGACCGACGCATATTATGAGAATGATTTTATGGTTGTTTAACGTCAATGTTAAAAGATTTTCGTTACACAATACTTTAAGTGCTGTAAATGTTTGAAAACTGTAATGAAGTGAACGGCGTTCACTCGCAGCTTAACCTTTTGGAGCACAGCTAAAAAAGTGAACGTTTCAAGCGAAATTAAAAAAATTAATTTTTGTGTAAATATTGTGTTGAAAATTGATAAAAAATAGATATATAATAATTAAATTAGTGGCATTCAAAAGAAATATCAAGTAAAGGGATCATATAAAATACTTTCAATATAATATACATATTTGCAAAATTCAAGCAAAGTATTTTTTACGTAAGTGCAGTGTTGAAAATGATTGGAAGTGGATCAAATGAATAGTGTTCACCCGCAATACAATCACAGTGAAAGAGTTCACTTTGCGGCTGTTAATCCATTTGAAATAAGCAAAATCTTATTATTTTGTGCGTTTAAATAATAAAGTGTCCGAATTAAGTGCGCCTATAGTTAATTTTAAAATGTTACAGGTTACCAGAAATTTAATATTATATGTTGTGGTTTTCTTTTGCAATTCATAATCGTAAAATTTCCATATGCATTTACGTGTGTGTGTGAGTACGTGACATAATTTTTTCATGTCAGAAAAAAGTCCCACATGTTATTGGGCATTTATATGTGTGTGTGATGGAGGAATTTTTTAAGCAATATGTTTGGTATGTGTGTTTGTGCTTATGTAAATGTGTGCCGCGATGCTTGTGTGATTTTCAATCTTGCCTCTCGCTCTAGCGCGTGTGAGAGTGCTTTAAGCGCTAAATAAAAAATCCCAATTGGAATGTCGCAACACATTCGACAGCGCAAGCCAATGTGAGTAAAGTAAAACTGTAATATTTATTGAATATAAAAATGCGAGATTGTTTTCTAATAAAATTAGTCATCAGTTTTGTTCGTTGCCCTTTCCCTGAAGCTTTTGCCATAATAATTATTGTCCAGTCAGCCTTCACATTTACTGTACCTATGCATCGGATAATTCACCTGAGACCAATATAGCATTAAAGATAGCTGCCTAATCCCCTAGTGTAGATCACCTGGACTCTCACAAATCAAGTGCATTACTTGTCGAAATTGAATCCTTCGGTCGTGCCCAAGTCCCTTGCCAATCCCCTATAGCAGTCGCACAATTACGAGCCATGAGCTGGTGAAATTTGGAACGCACGAATGACTTTACCAAAAAGGATTAAAGCCGGCCAAATTAACCGAGGGCCGAGCTCACAATAATTGCTGCTACGTCTGAGTGTTTTTTTAAGCCACCCACACAGAAAGGACCCTCCAGGCTCTTGGGTTAAGTAAACAGTTTAGCTGAGAGAGAGAGAGAGGTTACTTGCAAAATTAAAAAAATAGATGAGAAGAGAAGTGAGGAGGGTAAGAATGTTGAGTCTGCGTCTTGGGACAGCCTTTGTTTGTTCTAATTAAACGGCGCAGGCGTGGAAAATGCAACGTCATGAGAACTGCAACATGGACGCTGTCTACATGGAGAGCTGTACGTACTTAATGCCAGCCAGCTAGGTAGCAGAAACTGTATCTGATTTACATTTCTCCTGTTTTGCATAATGCAAAATATTTGCCCATTGTTCGCATGTCAGCGAGCAGCAGGCATCAGGCATCAGGCATGAGGCAGCAGGCGATGCAGCTAAGAAGATTCGCAATGCCAGCGTGGCTCGAACCCGTGACCACCAAGAATGTGGCCGGTCCTTTGCTTTGCATACGATTTTCTGCTACTATTCAGTGTCCTGTCCAAGGTCCTGCGGCGTGTGAACGTCGCCCTACTGCTTTGCTGCCCGGGTAGTCATCTACTTTTTCCGCACTATTTTAAATGATAATTTTTAGAGAAATGTTTTTTAAATCCGCCGGGTCATGGACCAAGGTCAAGTGCTTGAGATGTGCCAAAAAATTGGTTTCTTTTTCTTTTCTCTATTTTTTTTATGTATATATTGTTTTGCAGAGGTAGGCATAATATTTTGATATTTTGCATATGTTGTCCAGGACCTTGGGGTCAAGTTTTTAAGTGGCGAAAAACTGTGAGAAATGCAATTTATATTTGGAAGTTCTTGGAAGTTCTAGATCAAGAGATTAAGTGATCTTATTTGAGCTGGGTTTGATATCTTAGAATTTAAAAAGAATTTGAATAGAAAAAGAAAGGCGGTATTTTAATCTGATAAATATATATATTAAAAATACAGTTTCTCATGTACAGTGAAGTCTGTTAATTTTCGCCTCTATTGAAATTCTCAAATAAGAAATCCACTATAGATTTATATATTTCGACGTATTGTTTAGTATTTTATATTTTAATATATATTATTTGAATGAACATATATTTGCTTTTTTATTATATATTTCATATTTCTTTCAGTAAAAGTGCAATAAAGAAAATATATATTTTTTCAGAAGATGACTTTCTTCAACAATCTTATATATGTATGTATATTCGGATCGGCCTAGAAAAAGTGTCATCCAAACATTATGAAAAGCTTTTTTGCTTCTTTTATCCTGTATTGTGTGAATGCATTCGCTGTGTAGTTGCTTGCATTTGAGTGGAATATTTTACATATTTTTTTTTTGCAAATATTTTTGCAAGTATTTCTCATATGCATTTTCATAATGTTGCATTTGCTGACCAGTTTTTGTCCCCCTTTTATTTTTATATACATATATTATATTTTTTTGCATAAAACCGTTCGTTCAACCCCCTTGGCAGCATGCCACATTTGCCATATAAATAACAGACAGATGAGGAGGACAGAGGAACGGGGCTGGCCCTTTACTTTGCATTTTGCAGAACATTTTTGGCATGGAAATTATGAAAATGGGAAATGGGAAGTGGAAAAACATGCAAATGGCGCGCTAAACGAGAATGCTAGATGAAAACATTGTTTGGCCAAAGCGCCAGGCGCAGCACACTGACACGCACACACTAACACACATATATACACAAAAAGGATATGTAAGGATATGCAAGGATATGCATGCATGCAATCAGTCACAAAAATGCCGGCCTTTGTTTGCAGCCTCTGAATAAAGTCCAAGGGATAGAAAATCATCATCAACAGGAAAATGGGAAATGGAAAACAGAAACAGAAACAGGGGCAGCTCGGGCTTGGGGTCATCGAGAGGTCAGCAACGGGATTTTCATGCTATTGTTGACAAGGGATGCAATACACACACACATACACACTCACACATATAGTAGCTACCATGCAATTTTTGCCTGCTTTTTGGGCAATTTTCACATTGTTTTTTGTTGACTATTGAAATTTGGAAATTTTGTTGCATTTGATACAATTTTTATTTCTTTTTTAAATTTTTTATCTGTCTCCATGCAAAGGAGCTGCAACAAGGATGAGGTTAAGGAAGCTGCCTGCCAGGCACGCGACGTGTTGCATCAAAACAAGCCGAGACAAACTATGGCACGCGTTGCAACCATTTTTTAGTGGCACGAACCGCCCTCAAAGGTTTTTTTTCTTATTTATTGGTATACTCTTGAAAAGAGTCGTTTGATTTGAATAGGAAGTGTGTAACGGTTAGCTGAATCAAACCAAAATTGATAATAAAATTAATTTTTAAAAACTAATATAATATTGAATTAGTTAGCTATAAATTAAATTATTAAGCTACAAAATTATTTAATTGCTCAAGTAAAGTAATAATTTTGCGAGTTAGCTTTTATCAATTTAAGTTTATAAAATTATGTACTATTATTTTGTTATTTTTATCAATATGACAAATCTTTCCGAGTCTTCTACTATTAAAATCACCAACTATTTATTCAAATTAATAAATGAAATTCATCAAATTAATAATTAATATTTTCTGTTTTTCTGGCTAAAGAGCAGACTTTTTCGAGACTCATTTTATATAGTCGCTAGAGTATTTAATCTTCGACTTAGTGCAATATATAACGTTTATTATTTTCTTGTTGTTTTTTCCTGCTCTTTCTCTCTTTTTTGTTCGTTCTTTAATCGGATCTGCATATGTTGTGTAAATTGATATAGCACGTCCCGCTCGACAGGATCATGCTGCTGCGCCGCATATGTGCATTTTATTCGTTTGCTGGCGAAACACGCGCCATTTTGACTTTAACCCCAAACGTGTGCGTGTGTGTGTGCGAGGGCTGCACAAGCTGGGGGTGGGTGTATAGACGCAAAGGGGTGGCGCATTATGCATAAGCGCAAGGGTTGCTCTATCTCTCTATATAGCGTGGTGCATATGGCGACGCTTTGTCATGCATATCGAACTGYGAGGGCTATGTCCATTTAATCCAGCTCCTGGCGGCCATTGGCAATTGTCAGCGCTCACTCATCCTGGCCATTATTGGCCCTGGCTCAGGTCATGGCACATTAATTGCACTTTTATGCCGTAATTTTTATTGATTTCTGCCGTGTCGATTCCACTTAATGCTTTCGCTTTGCATAATATGAGTATATAGACAAAATTTAATATTAACTTCCAGCTGTCAGCGTTGCTTTCTTCTCTTTTGTTCAATATATACAAATATGCTATCAGAAAAGTTGAAGAACTTTCTCCGGATAGTGACTTACTTAACAATAGTTACTATAGTTACGTTTAACAAAAAAA